CTTTGTGAAGGGGTTTTTTTTTTTTAGTTGGGCTTCATTAAATGTGTCAGAGGTTGACGTGGCATGTCTTTTTTCTATGGTGTATAAAGTTCTTAAAAAAATCCTCCTGCAGATGCTTGAGGTTCACAGTGGGCCATGACTGATCTTCATAAATGAATGAAATCCAGTTTGCCCCTGTTCATGATGTGGGTCAGTTAAGTTGAAGAGCCAGAGTGTTGGGTTGCAACCTGGTGGATCTGGGTTCAAGTCCACAGTAGACCTGGAAGGTCTTTGGATGCCCTTTAGCCCAGAGGTGTCAGACTCATTTGTAACGAGGGCCGGATCGGACATAAATTTCACTTTGTCGGGCCAGGCCATGTGTGCCATAAAATGTAATGCCTGGTACCGGATATATAAACTGTATAAAGGATAGCAGTCCGTAAGCTCCAAGTTCATGTATCCTCACTGCAAGGCTCCATTGCAAAGGAACACCCATATCTGCAGACTGGAAGAAGAAGAAGAGATTGGATTTATACCCCTCCCTTCACTACTCAAAGGAGTCTCAGAGCGGCTCACAAACGCCTTCCCCTTCCCCTCCACACAACAGACACCCTGTGAGGCAGGTGGGGCTGAGAGAGCTCTGACAGAAACTGCTCTTTTTCAAGAATAGCTCTGACAGAACTATGGCTTGCCCAAGGCCATCCAGCAGGTGCAAGTGGAGGAGTGGGGAATCGAACCCGGTTCTCCCAGATTAGAGTCTGCGCACTTCACCACGACACCAAACTGGCTCTCTGGAGAGCCAGTGGTGCAGCACTGGGCAGACACTCCCAGAGTGCTTGACTGCTGCTGCAGATGAGGTTGTTCTGTTCCCTCCCTTGCACTAGGTGCTCATGGGCCGCCTAAGAGCCCTGGGCGGGCCAGTTCCGGCCCCCGGGCCTTACGTTTGACACCCCTGCTTTAGCAGCGGCTAGCTAGCGATACAAATCCACATTTCTGCGTGGCTTTTCGTTTACTGTCCACAGACCATCAGTAGGGCTGAAAGAACATTTCAATCTGGATGAATCCCAGAAGGCAGGATTTGGAAAAGGTATTGGGGCACTCTACAGAATTTGCTAGACTGTTTTACTGGTTAGTCAATAAACATCTCCATGATGCCTCTAAGGCATTCTTGCATATTCTGTGCCTGCTTGTCAAAAATCTCACATTAAAGGATACGTTTTTGCGAAAGTATCTGGGAGTCCGGAACGTGCCGCGTGACTGTTGTCTTCATTCCCCGTGCCAATAGCCCTGCCCCCCATCTTACATTGCCTTTCATGTATTTACAAAAACACAGTGGTTAAGGGGGGGAAGACTTCAAGCATTCTGGCACCTGCAGTTTTGTACGAAAATGTCTTCCTCTTTTAAAGCACCAGGATTCTGTTTACAGCAGTAAACCACCATCCTGCTGTATATTAGTATGTGTAAACTGACCTGTTCTTGAGGGCTGAGACAAACCTTTTAAAGCACCTTAAACTATGTATGGATTATGTATGGTCAGGCCTCACCTGGAGTCCTGTGTCCAGTTTTGGGCACCACATTTTAGGAAGGACGTTGACAAGCTTGAGCGTGTCCAGAAGAGGGCAACCAGGATGGTGAGAGGGTTGGAATCCAAGTCTTAGGAGGAAAGGCTGAAAGAGTTGGGTCTGTTTAGCCTGGGAAAGAGAAGGCTTAGAGGGGACACGATTGCAGTCTTCAAGTATCTGAAGGGCTGTCATGTAGAATATGGAGCGGATCTATTCTCTCTTGCTCCGGATTGCAAGACTAGATCTAATGGGCGGAAATTACAAGGGAGTTAGTTCTGGCTAAATATCAGGAGAAACTTCCTAACTGTCAGAGTGGTTGAGCAGTGGAACACAAACTCGGGAGGTGGTGGATGCTCCTTCGCTGGACATTTTCAAGTGGAGGCTGGACGACTATCTTTTGGGTATGTTGTAGGGCTCTCTTTTGGCTATGCTCCTGCAGAGTGCAGGGGGTTGGACTAGATGACCTGCAAGGTCCTTTCCAACTCTAACATTCTATGATTCTATGTATGTCTTCCTCCACTATTGAAAGATTGAAAGAACAGAAAAGGTCAATTCTGAAGCCTGCAGCCCTTCTTTTTGGCTCTTGGACAAACACATTCCAACACATCCAACTCTCCCCCACCACTGCCCTTAGCTCTTTGCAGGAGGTTGTCACATCTCTCTCCCACCCCCAAGGAGTCTCTTAGTTTTATGCATGATCTCTTGATTTTGAGTCCACCCTGCTACAAGCACAAATGTGTGAAGTCTTTTTTTGCTAAATTTTGCCACTTCTTTGTGCCGTGGATGCTGTTCTCTGTCGCCTTCCTCCCCAGGTCCACTAAATTTGCAGTAACTTCAATCGTGTCTTAATAATTGTTTCTCTCATTTTAAAATAAAATGTTTTCAAACTTCTAGGAGATTCAAACGGGACAACTCATAAACCAGAAGAACTCTGTGTAGAACGCTTGTCTGAGTATCTGGGACTGAAGAACATTGTGAACAAGATGTTGGAGGGACTAAAATTTTCTAAGGGAGTCCTGGTTTTTTCAAGAAGCTGGGCTGTTGATGTTGGGCTGTGGCAACATCCACGTGTGGCCCTTGATACCCTCTTAGTAGCCACAGATACAGTGCTGTACACAATGACTGTCGATAAGAATTATTCTGACTCTTCAACAATCCTGTATTGAAATATGCAAGGAATGTTAAAGGTAAAGGTTTCCTTGCTCGAAAGGCAGTCGAGTCCGACTCTAGGGCTGCAGTGCTCATCTCCGTTTCCAAGCCGAAGAGCCTGCGCTGTCCGAAGACGTTTCCGTGGTCATGTGGCCGGCATGACTAAACACCAAGGCGCACAGAATGCTGTTACCTTCCCACCGAAGTGGTACCTATTTATCTACTTGCAATGTCTTGCTTTCGATCTGCTAGGTTGGCAGGAGCTGGAACTAGAGACAGGAGCTCACTCCGTCATGCGGCACACTCGGGTCTCGAACTGCTGAACTACTGACCTTCCACAGCCTGCAGTTCAGCGTCTTAACCACTTGAGCCACCGCAGCTGCTTATTTATTATAGAATATTATT